GTGTTCTGATGTCTGATTGGTTCACTAACCATGTTGATGAGTTTTCATTGGTTTACATAAGGTGTGGAATTTCACATATATATTATGTCGGATACACACAACTTTTATATCATTTATCAAATGAAAATAGATGTATTTTATTGCCCAATTTATTTTAGAACACAATTCTATGCATGTTCATTTATTAAAATCAGTGTAGAATTTCCAGGTGTTTTCACTATTTTCTCTGTGGGTTTCATATTTAACATGAATGTTGTCAACAGTGGTTCTCCACACAGTTAATCACAAGTTACAATCTGATATGCTATTTTTCACTAGGTGTATTTGTTCATGAATACAAAATAAAATAACAGTGTATATAGTTATACTCATGTGTTTTTCATGAATTCTTGGTACTACTGTGGAATACTTTATTTTCGCTGGAATTAATTTTCCTGAAAGGGCTTTTTTGGCGTTTTGTATGGAATTTATTTTCACTGATTTTATGATGAAACTGAATGTTAAATATAGCCTTAAAGGTATATTCGCTGGATTTAAATTTCTGCCAATATTCCCGTCAACTAAAAAAATCTGGTCACGTGCTATGAGGTCATAAGGCAATGTCACAGGTCAAAAAGTGAAAATGAAAATGGATTTTGAAATTGAAAGTTTAAATGATATTGAAAACACAAATCGAATATCGTATCGAAATGAGAATGTCATTAAAAACAATTATTATGTTAAAGTTAATGCGATAGGCAGGAAATAACAGTGACTTTTCAGCAAATTATGATAGAAATTTTGCTTCAAAGTGAAAAATACATATATACCTAGAGTTCAAAGGTCAAGAAAAACGAAAGTGGATTTTAAAAACGAAAATGCATTTTGAAAACAAAAATGGATTTTAAAAACAAAAATGGATTTTAAAAATGAAAATGAATTTTGAAAATGAAAACAAATTTTTAAAACAAAAATGGATTTTAAAAATGAAATCGGATTTTAAAAATGAGAATGAATTTTGAAAATGAAAATGAATTTTGAAAATGAAAATGAATTTTAAAAACAAAAATGGATTTTAAAAATGAAATCGGATTTTAAAAATGAAAATGAATTTTGAAAATGAAAACGAATTTTTAAAACAAAAATGGATTTTAAAAATGAAATCGGATTTTAAAAATGAGAATGAATTTTGAAAATGAAAATGAATTTTGAAAATGAAAATGAATTTTAAAAACAAAAATGGATTTTAAAAATGAATTTTGAAAACAAAAATGGATTTTAAAAATGAAATCTGATTTTAAAAATGAAAATGAATTTTGAAAACAAAAATGGATTTTAAAAATAAAATCGGATTTTAAAAATGAAAATGGATTTTAAAAACAAAAATGAGTTTAAATAATTACTTTTAAAAATAAAATCAGATCTCAGTAACAAAAATGGGTTTTTAAAACCGATTTCAGAACCGAAAATGGTTATTAAAAATGAATTATATAAAAAAATGAATTTTCAAAATGTAAATGAATTGTAAAAATTATTTTATAAAATGCTAATTTGTGAGCCACCTCGGTTGCCGTAGATGAGCGATGATCTGTTTGTTTTTTTGTGTGTGTGTGTTTGTTGTTGTTTTTTATACTAAATTGGGTAGGCTTCCAATTTATAACTTCAAGTGAAGATATTATGCATTATACGCACTATTGCTTTAAGTGGATCTTAACTTAACATTATTAACTTTGATGACTCCATATACATACTGCTCAACACTTATGCGCCAAATAGAGAGGCACAACATAAGTAATTTTTTAAGTCGCACAAGAATTGTTTAACAGAGGAGGCCTTGGACCCAGATGATACAATCATCTGGGGCCGAGATTCAAACTTTACAGTAAATAACCTAGACAGGTCAGGAGGTAGACTGGCGCAGTCGGGCGATTAATTTGTTTTTGTAGTTTAAATACAATTTTTAAAAATCGCGAAATGGAGGTGTTAGCGCGAAATCACTCCGACTGGTATATTCTGCAGGAAATTCATTGCTATTAAATAGTCATGGTGCACATATTATAATGAGGTGGGCGCGGAAATACGTGCATAATGAGGTCAACATGGTAAAGGTCACACTGCCTACCTAACATGGCGGCACGTTGAATTCGAGTTTGTCGTAGTCGTCGTTTCTAATTCATCACAATGTGTAAAAAAGTGACTCGTACTAGTCGTAGAATTAAAAAAATATTGACTGCTACAATCAGCCGACGTCTTCTCGGTCAGAGGCTAGTTGAAGAGACGCTGTGATTGGCTCAGATGATTGTCAATTAGAACACTCATTAACATAATTACCCGTTGTAAAAACGACGGCTT